TTAACGAACCCGCTTGCAGGGTTTTAGGTTTTAGGCTTTAGGGATTACAGGGTTTAGCAGCATTTTGCACTCTCCCGCTCGAGCACAGACTCAGCATGAAGCGTTGCAGACTGCCTTAGGCTTCAGTGATTTGGGGTTCAGGGTTCAGGGCTCAGGGCGTAGGGGTGTCTATGCATGGACAGCTTGTGTAGCCGGATAGCCGACACCCCAAACGACAGAACCCCGGCCCGAACCCCTACAGGCTCACACCGTGGACTCTCAATGGGAGTTTCACAGAGTAAGGGGCCCCTGTTTACGAAAAGGAGGACTCCTGAGTTATGGATTTTCAGCAAAACACGAAATCCCAAACCCAAAAAGCCTGAAGGCTCGCATTCCTGGAGCTCGAAAACTTCGAAGCATTTTCCCCCTGCCCCCGGCCTCTTCCAACGGGATGCGAAGCAAAATAATTTAGGAGCTCGGGCATCTCTACTCTAACTAAAAAGGCTACTATAGGGACAGCTAACTATATAGGGATAATAGAGGAATAGTGACCTCCACAGTCGTAGCAGCAGTAATACTGACAGTATGATGACAAGAGCATGAAAAACCATGATAGCAATCATCAAAGTAACATTGGTAATAATTGGCAATAAGCGTAGTGACAACAATAAGCAAAAACTCAGCAAAAGCCCTCTAAAGCCCAGAGCCCTAAATCGCCAGACACTAAACCTACTGAAGCCCTGGAACTGTAAAGCCCCGAAGCCCTTAGCTCTAAACCTCAAACCTTAAAGCCCTAAACCCTAAAAGCCTAAAACCCTAAAACCCTAACACCCTAAAACCACAAAACTCTAAAACTCTCAAAGCCTGAAAACCTGAACCCTAGACCATAAAGCCTAAAGCCCTAAAGCCAGCTAAGGGTCGACGTTCTGCAGCGCAAGGCCTAGCAGCCCACCATCGCCCGACTTCTCCACGGTGACTTCGAAGTAGACCTTCGGACGAGGGAGCCTCTTCAAGGGTTCGTTAAGGGGCTTTTGGGGTTTTAGGGTTTAGGGTTTTGGGCTTAGGGTTTAGGGTATACGGGTTCTAAAAGGTTCTGACTAGGAAGCTGTAATCACGAAATAGACCGTTTGGGATTTTTAAGATTCGTTGTTTAGGGTTCCTGTGAGGGTTGCAGAAGGGCCGCTGTGAGGGTTCTTTACTAGGGCTTTGGCTTTGGGAGGTTTTAGTGCATAAGGCTCGAGGTTGCACCGTTCAGATTTTACGGTTGGTGTTGCTGTTTTGGCTTGAGGTTCTTTCTGCTTGGGCGCTGAGGGTAAAGGGTTTTGAAATTTCTCAAGGCTGTTTACGGCAGGTCCTCTTCTGCTTAAGCTAGGTCAACCCCTACGTTGCCGAGTTCCAGGGGAGATCCACACAGTAAGCGTTGCCTGACTTAACCGTAATATAGCACAACATCCACTTGGAGGTTTGAGGATTTCCGTTCCTCCGTTCAAGGGTCGAGGGCTGGCTTTTTGGTGGTGTAGTGTAGGACTTAATTCCTCGGGTCTCCCTCAACCCGAGTACCCCGCTTTAAAGCCTTCGAAACCCCACCTTTCCGGAGAGCTTGAAACGGTCCAGCGCTGCAACCTCCATCTGTTTCCGTTCGTCCTCGTCCATGTCCTGGCTAAGGACTTCATTGACTTGAAGCCTACTGCTTCCGCATTCGGCCAGGACCTTTTGTAACCCTACCGTTGTGGAGTCGAGTGCTCCAGAGCTTGAGGGAGTTGGAGGGATTAGGGGGCTACTCTCATTGATCTAGTAGTAGTAGTCGTCGTCGTAGTAGTAGCAGCAGCAGCAGTAGGTAGCAGCAGCAGCAGTAAGTAGTAGTAGGAGGAGAGGAAGCAGGGGTCCCTAAACGTGGGGGCTCAGAGTTTCTGGGCTACATGGTTCTGGAGCTGAGTGTCTGTCGAAGAGATTGGCGTGCTCTGGGGGGGGGGGGGGGCGTAATGATTACCTATACTACTTTGGGGGTTTCCTTATAATCCTTATAATAGGTCTAGTATAATGGGCCCCTAAACCCTATTCTCGTTTTTAAGGGGGATCTGGAAGACTCTGAAGCTTCGGGACTCGGGGGTCATAGGGCCCGGATAATTAGAATAGGGTTTTGGGATATGTTTTGCTAAGATTAGGGTTTAGGGTTTAGGGTTTAAGATTTGAATAAGGAGCCCCCAAAAAATAGGATTGGTAATGGCCTGAGGAGGTGAAGGCTGGGATGCAGACAAGCTGCGTTCTTGGCAACGCTCTGCTTCTCGCAGCGAGCGCAGACGACGACCTCACAACCTTCTCATGCCATGTCGATGTATGATGTAAGTAGTAACGACAATTGCCATCATGAGGGCAATCCGAAGCTGTTGGGTGTATACGACTATGATGGAAAACTGCTCTAATTATAAATACCCCTAAGATAGACTGCAGCTTAATTTACAGGAACCCGAGATCCCCAAGTGGAGCCTGAACCACCGGTCTTAGATGCAAGCTCAGCACCCCCTGCCCCCAAAAAAAACAGCTAAGACCAAACAAAACCAGTGAAGGACAGGCCCTAGAACAAGCTAGGTTTCAACTCTTTATGTCTACTGTAGGGGCCGTGATAATTAGAATAGGGTTTTGGGGTACATGATACTATTCTTATGAGAAGGAACCCCCCAAAACACCGTAGTTAATTATTAAGGCCCCTAGCTTATGTGCCTCTCCGGACCCCTGAGCGGTGCTTGGGCTTCGAGGCTTCGGACCAAAACGACCCGTTTAGTGTTTAGGGTTTACGACTTGAGCTTTTCGATTTAAGTGGCGTCCGCAGTACCAGTGAGAGCCACTCACTTCGCGGCCACAGCGCTCACCTGGAAGTTTCAGAAGGAGGGGGCCCGAATACTGTTGGTAAGGGCCGCTCTTAATCTTTAGAATCGGGTTTCGAGGGTCATTCGTTGTATACATTGAAGGAGAGAATGTAATGGAATAGCATTTCAAGTCACTCAAATCCCAAAACACATCACCCCAATAATGACCCTACTCACGAAGTGCCCTGATCCTTCAAGGTTTCGGATTTAAGCCCTCGAACCCTAAACCCTAAACCCTTCGAACCCTAAACCCTAAACCCTTCGAACCCTAAACCCTAAACCCCTAACCCTATAAGCAAGGCACACTCCATCTCGTCCTCGTAGTCGTCCGTGTTCTTCTTGCTGCTTAAGACGTGCTTGCTGGAGCCTCGGAGCTTCACGGTCTGAGTTTTTTGTTTTTGAGGGTTTAGGGTTTAGGGTTTGGGATCTAGGGTTTAGGGTTTAGGGTTTAGGGTTTACGGTTTGGGGTTTTGGGGTTTAGGGTGCTTAAAAGCGGCACTTTGGGGTTCGAAAGTTCTACAAGGGCCACTGTAAGAGTCAGTAGGCTTCTACGGACTCTGAAATAACGCCACGATACTGTGTCCTTTTTGTAAAGACCCCGAACATGATAGACTTAGTTTCAATCCACTCCATCGGAAACAATCGCCGAAACAATTCAATAAGGCAGCCTTACTACTAACACGCTGACCCAATGAATCCCTAATCCCTAAACCAAAAACCCAATGAATCCCAGAAGCACATTGGCTTGCCCTTGTTCTTGAGGCCCTGCGCCGTAATGCGGCAGCCGGAGGCACACTTCGTAACCTGGACGCTTGAGGGTCGGGGGCTGAGAGCATTTAGGGCCTGGGCTTTGGGGCGTCTAGGCGTTAGGGTTTAGGGCTTAGGGTTTAGATTGGTTTCATGCTTTACGGTTTAGGGCTGAGGGTTCAGATGGGTTTAGGCTTTACGGTTTAGGGCTTAGGGTTTAGACGGGTTTAGGGTTTCGTATGTCGTTTGTCAATTGTCTTGTGAATGCAGATTGCTGCACGTATGCAGGTGTACTCAAGTATCTGCATCTACAAGCCGCCGAAACCCGACGCCCGAACGCCCCAACTCCCTAACCCAACAGCTCTACCTCTTAGCCAGAACAAACCGGACCGTCCTAGACCCTAAACCCTAAACCCTTAACCTTCGATGTCCAAATTCACAGAACCATGAACCCGCGAAGCCCGACATCGGTCCAGAAAAAGGCTTCCATGCGGAGTTTCGCCCAAAATCCTAAATCGAAGACAACGAAACAACAAAGCGTAAAGCCTTAGGGGGCGGTCTGGGGCTTGGGGCTTAGGTGGTGCTGGCCCCAGTAGCCAAGGGCGCTTCGCCCGTCAATTTGGGCTCGATGAGCTTCTCGAGGACCTGGTTGCTCGGCTTCTTGCGAGTCTTTATGGTTTAGGGTTTAGGGTTTAGGGTTTAGGGTTTCGTTCGGGGCTCCAGGTCTTACAGGGTCGTCCACCCCCGTTTGCGAGCACGCGCGTGGAGACCCTAAACCCTAAACCGCTAAACCCCAAACATTGAACCCTAAACCCGTGTAACCCTGGTCCTGCTTCAAAGGATTCCTAAGGTGCCAAGTCGCGTTCGTTGTGCTTGCAATCCCTGAAATTTTATACTGTTCGCACAGTTCTCCATGTGCTAGAAGCCCTATTAACCCAAAAGCCCAAACGCAACCCTAAACCCGGTCCTATTGATCCTGAACTCAGTGATAGGTCAATCACAATGTAGACGCGGGGAAGACGAGGGGGGTCCCGGAGAGAGGCGGTCTGGTCTTATTCGCGCCCGGACACCAGAATCCTGCGGGGCGTCCTTAGGGTTTAGAGTTTAGGGTTTTAGGGGTTTAGGGTTTAGGGTTTAAAGGTTTAGGGTTTAGGGTTTAGGGTTAAGGGTTTAGGGTTTAGGGCTCTTAATTCTTCGGCAGTGTATTCTTGGAGTAAACGGTCCTTCTGGTCAAAGAGCTCAAACCCAACACAATCCGATGTAATCAACTCTGCATATTCGCTCAATATAAGCCCCCGGATCACCCAAATAGAAGCAGGGTTTCGGCGCATGTTCTCGTATACTTAGGCTGCGAGGAAGCCTGAGGTTAGACTGTTCATATTAATCCTAGTCAGTTACTATAAATACTAGTACTAATCAATTACCATCTATACTATTCCTAAGTCGATACAATTAATACTATTACTAATCAATTACAATTAGTACTATTACTAAGCCTATTATATTACCATTTGCTAATCTATTCTTCCCACCCCTTGGTTAGAACACAACCTTCAGCTCAGTGGCCGTAGCATCGACTCGGGTCGCAGACCAGGTCCCTGAAATCTCGTTGGCATCGAGGGACCACCAAAAGCCTCGCAGCTTGGAGCTGTTTTGGCGCTTGGGGTATCTTAAACCCTAAACTTATACACCTAAAACCCTAGAAACTTAAAGCCCTAAACCCTAAGCCCTAAACCCTAAAACGCTAGAAACCAAGTCTCGCATTCCGCGTGTTGCTTGGGTCGGGCTTCATTTCGGCCTCTTGGGTTCTGAACCAAACGTCTCAAGCAGGGTTTAGGGTTTAGGGTTTAGAGATTAGGGGTGTTAAGGCTTCGACATTGTGGGTTTTCGGTGTTCGTGCACTTTGACTACTGTAAGACCGTACAAACCTCAAAAACAAATAGAAATCACAAGCCCCTTTCTTAAACGCTGACCTGACTCAGACTCAACGGGGCAACTAAAACCCTAAAACCTAAAACCCTAAAAACAGCTCGCCCTAAACCCCAAGTAGTCAATCGAATCCGTAATTTTCCTCGCTCCCCTCGGGTAATCGGAGCCTGTGATCGTGGCGACTGCGCCGCCGCGGCGATCGAGCTGACCCTCCAGCATAGCGCGGCCCTTCCAGCCGTTGACCTCCCGAGGATCAAGGGCTTAGGGGTCTTAGGTTTCTTTTTTGAGCATCCTTTTCAGGAAAGTCCATTTGGGCAGGCGAACGAGCTGGGACGAGGGTTTAGAGTTTAGGCGTTAGGGTGGTTTCGGACTTCAGATTTGTGGCTCGGAGCTTGAGGTGAGGACTTCTTGTGTCAAGAGTCGGGAGTTTAGGAAGTAGGGTTGAGCGTTTGGGTGCTGGGTTCAGGGGTTTTGGGCATGATGCCTTGAAGGTCAGGGCTTGAGACTGACGATTCCGGGGTGGTCCTTGCGATGCGCGCTTTGGGCCAATCCCCCTTGAGGTAAAATTCTGCTTCCTGGAACTCATTGGGAGGTGCATGGAGGTTTGGGCCGCAGAAGTCGTTGCCTCCCAAAAAACCCAAGATGCTGGGTGAGCCTGTCATGATAGAAACCTGCGAAACTCTAAACCCTGAGCCCTCACTAGACCCAAAACTCGAAACCTACCCCCCCGCCCCCCCCCAAACCCTAAACCCGAAACACTAGACCCTAAACCCTAAACCCCAAACCCTAAACCCCCCCCCTCAAAAAACAGGAATCGAAGGCGCCTGGAGCCGCAGGGAGCGGCTCTTCAGGGAGCCTTCGACAAGGGCCTTGCTGACCTGCGGAAAACCAGGGGCTTTTGTAAGGGGATCTTATGTTGAGTGACCATATTAGGGTTTAGGGCTTAATGTTGTTTTTTTCAGGGTTTAGGGTTTTAGGGCTTAGGGCTTGGAAGGTCTAGGGTTACGGAGTTTTTAAGTTCGCTTAAATCTGATTCCTTGACCAGCACCCAAAAAAAAAACGGGACACTAGAGTCGCCCCGCTTTGGGGGGGGGGGGGGTTGAGGGCATAAGGTCTTCGTTCAGGGTTTGCAGTTCGATTTTTTTCCTTTCTCGGAGTTTGGAGTCTGGGGTTTGTGGTCTTCTGTTCTGAGGGTTTGTGGTCTTCTGTTCCAGGGTTTAGGGTTTAGGGTTTAGGGTGAAACTTCGATACTGCCTGACTAATGACAACTTGCCGTCAAGTCGACTATGACTTCCAATGAAACGCATTGTGCCACGCAACTTCGTTTTGGCAGACTCTATACAGAGAGAATCCGTTTTGTGGATTTCGGGTTTAGTCGGCGGGGTTTCGGTGTCAGGGTTTAGTGCAGAGGGTTTGGGTAACCCTAAACCCGAAGCCCTCCAACGCTATCCGAAGAAGTGACTTGCCTTCGGGCCCCCGTCGGTGCTTCCATTCTCCAGATCAGGGCCTGCCGCTGCAAGCTACGTAGGGGTTTAGGGGTTTAGGGGTTAGGGGTTTAGGGCCTGCACTCCGAACCCCCAAGGCCTGAACCCCAAAGCCCCAAGCTGCGAGGGCCCCCGAGAGCTTAAGCATTGAAGGTGCTCGGCTTCTCAGGTCCGATGGGTAGGGTCCTTTTTTAGGGGCTCCTTTTTAGAAGGGTGCCGTACGATAGTGGGGACCTGAAAAGGGACCCTAATTTAGAGAACTACCCATATGGGGCTTCGGAGGCTGCCAGTTGGGGTTTTTATTTAAAGGAAACTACAGGTGGGGAGTTTAGGGTATACAGGCCTTCCATAAGACTTCTATAAGGTATATAGACCTTCCATAGGGCTCCTATAACGGTAACTACCCACCTGAAAAATGTCCTAGATTTATCCTTTCGGATTTAAGGTTTGGCTAGGGGACCGAGAGTCCCGAGAGGCCTCGTTGAATCTTAGAGAGAGTTTAGGGTTTAGGGTTTAGAGTGTAGGGTTTAGGGTTTAGGGGTTAGGGGTTCAGAGTTTAGAGTGTAGGGTTGAGGATTTGTCTACTCCACTTCTCTTTCCCCGGGGTCTTTGGAGAAGTTTGCAGGGTAAGTAGCTTTGCGCTGCTGACAATCTCTTCCTGTCCTTCTTGTGCTGGGGGCCTTTTGAACAACCTGCTAAAGTAAACACTGCAACGAAAAGAAATCAAAAGCTACGAGTGTGATGCGTAACACTTCCATCGGGTCTGCAGGGGTCGAAATGTCTCCACCGTCCTTAGCTGAAAAAAACTGCGCAGAAAACATGAACGGATCCTTCGCAACCTTAGCAGCGCACAAAGCAGCACCCCACCAAGACACTCCCGACCTTCCAGCAGGGCGCCGTGAACGGCACCCGACCGCGACTCCACCGCGAAATGGACCTCAGAGAATCGAGGACACTACGTACGACTCACGAAACAAGGGTCCTCATGGCAGGGGCTTCACAGGGCTCCGCGCCGTAAGCCACATGGTGTAAGCATAGGCCTGCGCATCAGAAAACCAACAACGAAAGTCACCGTGCGAACGAAGAAGACAGTAGACTAGGAGCCTTAATAATTAGAATAGGGTTTTGGGGCCCAGTATACTATAACTATGATAATAAGCCCCACAAAATAGTATTGGTAATTAT